AGAAGATGCTAAAAAGAATTTGTGCTACCTAACTCCTCTTGACTGGCAGTAAAGTGAGACCAATACTTGAAACTCTTGCTGATCATTTTTAGTTATCTTGCCTAGGAACCGACCATGTGGCTTTTTAGCAAGGTCTCACACTAAGCACAGCTGCCATAACAGTTACTGACATGATTTCACATGAAATGGAGTGCATTAATAATGATGAGTTAGTTATCTTGCATTACCAGCAACACACTTTGTGTGGTTATTAGGAATAATGTACTAAATACTTTCCTTCACTTTATTACGCTTCCTCTTTTCTCTCCAAGTTGGTGCATACAAAGTGGGGACAGACCTGCTCGTGGAATTTGAGTTCCGTACAACACGAATGAACGGTGTTCTCCTCGGAGTCAGCAGCCAGAAAATGGATGGGCTTGGCATCGAATTAGTAGATGGAAAAGTGAGTAGCAAAGCATTTTTGTCTCTTTATACAGATTTTTTTTTTAAAAGCATAGGTAGTTTAATTGCAACCTTACTACCCCAGTCTCAAGGTGTTTCAGTTAATATTAGGGCTCTCTTTTATGCAGGACTTGCCACTCCCTCTACGTGAAGAGGCTCTTACACTTTTACAAAGTTATTTTAAAAGATTCTGTAACACATAAGTTTCCTAAAACTGCAACATCAGGACTTAAATCAGTGAGAATATGAAAAGTTTTGAGGAATGGTTTTATTATTAATACTACTAGTTTCTTGTGTATATCTTTTATTTCCCAATCTGATAAACTAGTCAGTAGGCTATCAGTATAAAGAGCTGTTTTTTTCAGGGGGCTCTCAAAAACTAAGGCAAAAATGGAAAAATGACAACCTTTAGAACAATTTTGCATATTTCCACTAGTGTTTATCTCAGTGACATAACCCAGGCCCCAGTGAAACTATGCAGAGAGACAACAATCCACCCAGAGTCTGCTATTAAATCAGAGCTTTAGTGTGTGCAGTCAGAACAAGTTGATTTAAAAAAACAAAACTACACTATAAATAAGAACAATAGAACTGTGTTGAGAACTATCTGACTTTCATGTCAAACTTTTCAGGTGATGTTTCACGTTGACAATGGTGCAGGCCGATTCTCTGCTGTCTATGAGCCTGATGCACCAGGCAGCTTGTGTGATGGACAGTGGCACAAAGTTCTTGCAAACAAGATCAAACACCGTTTAGAGCTGACTGTGGATGACAGACAGGTGGATAGTAACAGCCCAAACAGGGCCTCAACCTCAGCAGACACTAACGACCCCATCTTTGTCGGAGGATATCCTGGTGAGCATTTAACCTCACAAATGATGCTTTACTTGTGCTCTAGCAATGCTACCTTGGTAATGTCTGAAATCATAAACTTGGGACTAGTATGTTAGAGTTGATGCATAAGACTGTCTAAGTTTGTATCAGTAGGCATGGATGCTCGTTTCTGCATTCGGCTGCATTTCAGAAAGAGAAGTTTTGCAACACCAAGGGACTCTTACAGATCCCCCTGCCCAGTCTCAAAGGTAGACACTGTCAGAGAGGAGCAGGCAGACTTTCTGCCTTCTGCTGCCCACACACACACTGCCTCCCTCTTAAAACTTTCTGTTTAGTAACAGCATAATAATTATGTTTCAACAGTGAAAGAATTTGAAAAATTTAAATTTAAATTAAGAATGGCAAATTTAAATTTAAGTAAAGAATGCATATATGCCCTTGGGGGGCATGGCACTGCATATGTGTAAATCAGCCTGTAAAACCTGAGGAACTGAGGAATATGGACAACAACTTGCACAGAGAGGTCAGAAAACACCATCTCTTTCTGCTGAATGTCTTTGCTGGTGGTCTGGTGGTTTTTAAAGGAATAAAAAAAAAAATCAAAATTTGCTACTCAGTATTCTGGTAGTATTCTACTGTCGAGAGAACTTGTGTCAGGCAGAGGTGATTGAATAGGATTCAGAACTAGGCTGAGCTTTGTAGCTAGCTTCATCTTCCACTAAGCTGATAATGAACGCTAGTATTGATATGTTCATAGATAATCAACAAGTTTATCTAATAGCAGTTTACTTTCTGAAAACACAGTTAAGATGTTTGCAAAGTGCCAATTTTGTTGCATTTATAATAAAGTTTCCCTCTAGTTTTCAAACAAAAAAGATAAGTATGTTTGCAGTATGTGTCTGCTCTAGTGCATACTCTCGTCAGTGGCAAGATACCTTGACGACATATTAAAATAATTCCTAAATTATTTTATAGGAGTCGTTTTTTCCCCCCCATTCTAATGTGGGAGGCAGTGCCTCCAAAAAGTCTTCTCTCTCAAGATTCAGAACATTTTCAAAAATGTTCTTGATACTGAGATATGAGAGCTGTACTTCACTCACAGCGACTATTGATAAGGACTAAGGACTTTGTGCCAGAAGGAAAGCAGCTTTGTGGCAGCCTTTTTATAACAAAACAGGATTCTAGCACAGGAGCTAGCACTAAAGAAACACTGCAGATGGAGATTCTCGTTCTGGGCTGTACATCAAGAGGAACATAGCAAGAGAAACAAATGGAAGTAACATTGCAATCTGTACAAAACAAGCCTACACTGACATCATGTTGAAGTGATGAGATGCCCAAGTTCAGCCCCAGGGCAAGTTATGAAATGATTTAATAAAATTACATGCACATTTAGACACCTCACACTTCTCTTGCTACCTCATTCAAGATTTGTTATAACATTCCCAATACCTAGACAGCCTCATCACAAATTTAAAACACAGTATCATGGGATTTTGTAAAATTAGTAAGCGTTTGTATTTTCCAGTCCTCTTGAGGCTTCTCCTGGCTGCATAAAAAGTTGAAAAACAGATGGAATTAGCTGGTGGAGAATTTCCTGTGCAGAGAAAATTTTTGCCACCAGAGCGTGGGCAAGGATATAAATTTGTGGCTACCCATAAAAGCCATTACTCATCTCCTACTATCCTTCTTCCCTGTGGAAGGAGGGACAGATGAATTCAACCATCTCATCCTCTGTGAAACAGTATAATGCTATGGCCAGTCAGGCCTCTACAGGTGTAAAGTTATTTCTGTAACCCTGACTTTATCAGTCACGGAGCTTTGTATTAGAGGGCATCCCTGCAGCCACTTTTTCACTTAGAAGAACACTGAGAAACAAGTTGGGCCATGAATTTCAAACAGTTGAGAGCAATACTTCCAGCTTCCCTGTCAAACCAACCCTCACTTTTATCAGCTCCTTCTCTACTGGAAGAGATGTACTCAAGCCCCTGGCTTTACTATCAGAAAGAAAAAAGAAAAAAAAAAAAATCAGAATGTTTGAAAACTCTCAAAACTGTTCCTTAAATGTCACCTGAAGTCCATACTGAGGAACTGCCTTTCTCATTATGTTAGGGCTGAGAAGGACTAGCATGTATGCATCATACACCATTTGTAGGTAGCAAGCTGCCATTTGGCCATTTTTCTTAATTTTCTCTATGTCACGTAACTGAGTTACATGGTTTACAATGGCAGTTTAAATATGTTCAGATTCTACCACTGTCAGGCTAGGACTGAAAGAGGAAAGAAGACTGGATTGTTGCCAGTAGCATAAGCATTTATCACATTCACTCATAATGTTTGTAATCTTTTGAATAAAGAAGATATACAGCAAATAAAACATATTAATGTATTGATGGGGACATCTGTTCTCCTTCATGACTCTCAAAGAACAAACTTAAGTATCAACTCAGACTTACATAATTCGTTTTTCCTTTTTTTCCCCTCTCCTTCAGATGGTGTGACCCAGTTTGGGCTGACCACTAATATCCGTTTTAAAGGATGTATTCGATTTCTGAAGCTCACCAAGGGTACTGCCAAACCTCAAGAGATTAACTTCAGCAAAGCTTTGGAGCTGAAAGGTGTTCAACCGCTGTCATGCCCTGTAAACTAACTGTTTTTCTGGGTCTGTTTATATAAGCACCTCAGCTTAAAATTTAAGAAAAAAAAAATCTATATATACATTGCATTCATAATAAAATGTCTTTATGCAAGTATTTGAGCAGTGTTTGTTGTATATTCAAATGGCTATTTCAAGGTAACTCCCAAGAATGCAAGAACTAATCCTTTCCCCCAACCCCCTTCATTAAGGGAGTAGAAGAATGATTTTTAATCTCTCTCTTTCCTTATAGCTTGAAATGGAAATGTTTCATCATTCTTCTGATGAGTGAGACCACATATTATGCAGGGTTTTCCTTTACTATGGAACTTAGAATCATATACTCATAGAATATCTCAAGTTGGAAGGGACCCATACAGATAATCAAGTCCAACTCCCTGAAGTGCTCCCTAAATACTTTTGGTGAGGTCCATCTGTAACCTGACATTCCTTTACCATTCTAAATACAGTGCACTTGTGTGCATGCACACCTCTGTCTTTCATTAGAAACAAGGATATTGCCTTGCTTAAAACACTCCCAAGAGCTTTTAGAAAATTTTTCTAACCATGATATTTCCCACAAAAATTTCTCTGAGAAAGTAAAAATTTTACACAGTCTACATGGCTGCTGTCATGCTATTGCCATGGAACCAAGTACAGGGAAGAAAAATGTTACTTCTTGCTCAGTGTATTTGGGATTATTGAAGAAAATATGTTGCACCTAAAATCCCTGCTATATCATTTGAACAGCACTGGATTTTAACAGAGGTTCTGTTGTTTGGTGTTGGGAGATGTAGTCTGTACTAGAAGGAGCAGAACCAGGTTCTACCACTTACCTGGAACTATGGTTTTAAATGATCCTTAATAAATTAAGTTTGATATTTCCCCCCTCTCCAACTACACATGATATTGAAATTACACATAGCAAAACTCACAAACAAGGTTTCTAAAGGAAGACGATACTACTGCATTGGAGCAGAATGGAGGTGAAGCAGGGGAATCCCAGAGATTATTAGCACAGCACATGTCACTAATCTCTACTGTCAACTATTCAATTAAATCCTTAAAAGCATCTTCCAAAGTTAGACTCTACTGCTTCTGCTTGATGCTGTCAGTTTGTGAGGAATTCTGAATGCAGAAGCCACCCCAAATCTTCCTTAAATAAAATTTAGAGTGCTCTGTGGATAGCAGTTTAAACATACATGGGGAGAGGAAAGTTGCTTCCTAGATTCTCACCAAAAATGCCAAATCCTGGTGGTTTTCCTCAGTGCTTTGTATGTTTTAAAGGAACATGAAATCATCACCAAAGTATGGATTATCTTTTCTATGGATTGTTTCAGATTGTTAAACTCTACTTTTGCAAAGCTTGTGCTTGCACATGCAGAACATTTACTGTAAAAACAACTACTTCTACAAAAGAGAAAAACAACAGAAAAAAACCCCCTAGCAGTAAGGTAGCACAACCACACAATTAAAAGAAAAGGGTTTTTTTGTTTGTTTGTTTGTTTTCTGCCCACCAAGAGCCTTAAATACACTTTTTCAGAATTTCTGACATAACTAAAAAAAGGCAAGCTGCAAAATTTGTGCTGATGGAGACCTCCTGCAGGAGTGCTTTGTATTCACAAAAGGCCTCTTTGGCATACAATAGTTCCCTAAACTGCCATGGGAAAAAAAACACCTTTACACTGGGAAACTACATTAAAGAGGTGGTAATAAATATGTATATTGCCACTCTAATGATTTCAGGAGTCTAACACTGAAAGAGACACGTGAAGGAAAAAAATCTAGCTGCAGTGAAGCCCTGAAGTAACTGATTTCAGCAAGTATGCTAGTTTTCACTTGCAACTGGCCTTTTAATGTTAACAGTTAATGGCTGTGCAATATTATGCCCATTCAAAGTGCTAAGAATTAGTAAAGCATGCATTTGTCTCTGAAAAAGCCTAATTATGGGCCATGTACTGTCTTACATGTCCCTTCTGCATTCTAGTGCTACTAACAAACACACTGTAAAATATTTATGGTTTTCTATTTTATTTTTTTTTATGTCCCTTGTATTTACCTATTTTCATCCCTATCATATTTCAGGATAGTTTTAGCAGCTCACGAAAAATAGGCCATAATACTCAAATACAGTTGAGTATTTCCAAAATTATTGAAAAATACGAACAAAAGAAGCCCCAAGACTCTTCTGCAGAGTGCTGTTAATGTTATTGTCATGAATTTCTGACAACACACAGAACAGCCAAGCCACTTGGCCCATTACACCCACAGGCATTATGCAGTTTAGAGACAGTGTTTTCTAGCCTCTAGGTTCTATTCAGCTTGTTTTATTCTTTTTTTAACCCAAACTTTCTTGTGAGGTTTTTGGATATTTTTTTTTTTGACTTGAAGACACAAGGGAAATTCACACAAGGAAGCCTAGAACGCCATGAGTTAATGCTGCGCCTTGCCTCAGAGGCAGGAAATTGCCACTGCTCTGCTCAGCACTGCATCAGCAATAGTCTTTCACATAAAGATGTCTTTGCCTTAGAAACAAGTACTGGAATTTCTGCATAAAAGAAATTGAAATAAAAAAAAAAAAAAAAAAAAAAAAAAAAGAAAGGCCTTTATGTTCCTCCCTCGCATGGCCTTCCAGGAATGTGTGGGACAGGGCAAAAACAATAAAACAATGCACATTATTACATTTCTTGAGCTCTTGAGTGGAAAGAATCAACCAGCTGCTGTCCTCTGCCAAAGGAAATAAATTCAGTAGGCTGAAACAACAGCTACTTCAGCAAACAGCCAAGCTAAAAGGAAACGGAAAAACCTGCCTAATTTGTTTTCGTAGATCTCTGAGTGGATGCACCAAGTACCCTTAGTAAAGCTTTCTGCCTTTGAAGATTCAGCAGAGCATCTGGGAATGATCCCAGCTCCCTGTTATTACCTTTTGCCGTACAACACATTCATAGATAAAATTTCCTGAAAAGAGCAGGTTGTGAGCCTCATAGCCATATGCAAACTGCTAGAGATTATGTCACTGATGATTGTGCCAGAAGCGATGTAATTTCCCAATTCAAGACTACAAACTAACACACATCTACACAACACAAGTATTTAAACCCTTATTTTGGTGGATGTTTTGCATGCAGTTTTTACTGCCTTTTTGTGTGTGTGTGTGTGTGCGCGCACACACTAAGTACTCTTCACTGCTAAACTTGAAAACTAAAAAATTCACATCTGCAAGTTTTTAAAATTGTGTTTAAGATTGACCCTGTTGACTGTGACTTTTAGGCATTTATGATGAACATTCACCCCAAATGAGACAAATCCCTCTTCATCTCTAGCTTTAGGCAAATTGCTATGTATGAAGAAAGTTGTGGTTTTGATTTTAAGTACAACCATTTTTCAACTTGGACTCTTTGTAAAGAGTAATTTACTTGTTCTTTCTATGAAATAATACTTTCAGCACTTTATAGAAGCTTATAAAAGGAAATACATTTCACTAGCTTAGTATTTTTTTTTTTTTTTAGAATGCACAAGAAAAATTTAAAATGCTTAAAAATCCAAACTACTTTTTCTGTCTCTCTTTTAACACAGAAACCAACAAAAGCCAATTCCATCTTTCCCTTATTCAGCTATGGGGCTTCTGAGTGATCTCAAATGTCTGCTGAGGGGTTTCTCAGTGTGTACAAGTAAAATTTTTCTCTGACCTGTTTCTAACCAACAAGAAAAGTGTATGCCATACCTTTCATGAGAACACATCTACTGAAGGAATCACAAAAGATCCCTATCCCCACATACACTGCAGTTTTTAAACCTTTAAAGAAGACCTTGCAGTTTTCAGCTGTCTTAAGATTTTATGAAAGCCTATAAAAGTCTTCTGAAAATATTCTATGCAATGAAAAATGTTATTTTCAGAGCAATTTAATGAGGCCACTGGATTTTTTTAACCTAAGATATTTTTTTTTTCTTTATATCATCATCTGCATTTCCTAATGACAAAACCCTAGCAGTTCTTTAGTCATCCATCAAGTCTTACAGCATACATAGAAGCTGAACTGGTGTAAAGATGTAGGAAGAAACATCAATTTCACTGTTTCATGCTTCATAAATAGACACAAAACCATCCAGACCTTTCTTCAAAATAATTCCTTAAATATACTGCTGATGTGTAATGCAATGGAATTGAAACAAAACCCCAAATTATTCAGCCTATATATTCCAATGCTGTTACTTCATACTCAAGAGTACAAATAATTTCTTCAGGTGCCTGAAGTCCCAGATAATTCCTGATATGATGCATCTATTTCGACTCCAAAAAACACACCTTTCCATTTCAAGATTACTGGACAACACAGCATAAAATTACAGCACTTCAGGAACTAAAATATCTAGTTTAAGCAAGAAAGAAAATCCTTGGGAAAAATCTCCAACAGTCAGTGCTCTCATACACTTTTCATGCTCCTTCCTGGGACCAACATCAGAAACTTTAGCCCAAATCTAAGAGAGTTTCACAATTTTCACTTGACTACGGAGTTACTTATTTTGAGGAGAACTGCACAAAACTTCCCTAATGCTAGAGTCGCGTCCTTTTTTCCTTCTTTTTCAAAAGGATGTTTGAGTACAAAATTAAACTGATGCTTTCTGCTTGCCCCATCTTTATCTAACACTCTGTAATAACAATAATGATGAAAGTAGATGTCTAGAGTTTCAAAGACTAACTTATATGATATATAGTATGATGAAATATAATAACAGGAGCACTTATGAAATATTCTGCAAAGCTGACTGAATAATCAGCTGCGAATCTCCCCTTTTAATCATAATTTATTTTGGCAACTTCAGTACTTCTAGTTGGCGTGAGCAAGGAGGGATGACTGGCAGTTGAGGCCCTAGAGTAGCTAAATTTCCTGTGGTTTTCTTCATTATGATTCTGTACTACAATGTAACATGAATTTGATTTAAACAGCCAAAGGCTTCACTCTTTCACTGAGTTTCATGTCAACAGAATGGCTCCCTGGGAGAGAAATACTGACACAAGCACGCTCATCCCTCCATCCCTCTGCACTGAGGTAACGCAGCACATGGAGCAGCATAGGCTCCCACATACCTCAGGGGCAGAAGGTTAGGTGAA